AGCATCAATGGGATCAAGTGTGGCAACAATTGTGAGGTTGACCTTAATCCCATCAGGGTCAGGGTCATGAAGAGCCTCAGGAGACACGACAAGTAACTGGACACTGTTGGGTTTCTGTGTGGGTGGAAAATGGACATTAGGGGAAAGTGGATGAAGTGTGGACTTCAGTTAGTAATCATGATTACTATTGGTCCATTTGTTGTGACAAAAGCACCATCCTACTCTAAGATCTTTAGAACAGGGGAACTTGGGTGGGAGGTGGATGGAAGGTATTTGTACAGTCCTCTCTACTTTTCTACCAATCTACAAGTCCTGGTATATGATCTAAAAGCCCACTATGCTCATTGATGTTGGCTAGATTAGCGAGCTTAATGGAAAAACTAGAACTGTTCCATAGGGTTTCTCAGGCTCTGTCTTTACAAATCAGAATGTCTCATCTTTCTCCCTGTAAGCTGTTTCTGTGTTGGAACCTCTGATCTTTACAGTTAGTACCCAGTGCTTAACCCCCTGTGCCACTTTGGTTATAAAAACTAAAGCAGCTTTAAAAAGTGTTTAAACAGAAACCTATCTTTCCACACAGATTGGTTTTACCCAGGCTCTTATCTGAGATTCATGGCAAGCATTTCCTCTAAGAACCTGTCAGCTTAGTTGCCAGACCAAGCCTATGGGACATGCAGGTTTCCCAACCCTCACACATGGCATCAGTGCCAGGTGTGGTAGCATAGTCCCCAGTCACATTCAGAACTCTGACCATTGAACTGAGTCAGCCTCGGACTGTGCCACATGGGGTCTATTATCTCCAGGTGGTTAATTACTCTCATGGGCAGCTCTCCAGATGAGGTGTCTGTTGCAGAGGATGGCCACCAGTTAAAGGCCCATAGCAAAACACAGGAGCCACCAAGCAGCAAGTGTGGTCTTTATACAGAGGCCGCATCTCACCTTCCCACCTGAGTAAGATGTTATGTGTCTCCCATGTAAATGTGGCGTCATGTTCACACAAAAATGATTGAGATGCATCCCTTGTATTAATAGTCAAGAGTAATAATCAGTGGTAGTATCTGTCTATCTGTCTGTCCATAGTCTTTTGAATTATCTGGCCTAGTTTTGCTCTCAATTTGTTTGAAGACACTTGTTTTTACTCTGACCTATTTTATTGTGAGAAAATAATCCTAAATTTTTTTGATTATGTCTATTGTTATTTCAGTTTGAAACTGTAGTGCCGGGACCTGCTGGCTGTGCTGACTAATCCATGCAGTTGGTCTCCTGGTAAGAGGGGAACCAAAGAAGGGCACCTAATTGTCAACATTGTTTGCAGTCTGTAAAGTGGGAGGGAGGTCGCTGACTCAGCAGCGACCTACCACAAAGTCTTCTATGAATCTGGTTCAGAAGGTGAGAGGCTGGAGTGGTTGAGCCTCTGGTGGACCTGCAGATGGATCTGCAGCTAGGAGGATCTCAGTCTTAGGGGGTCAAGACCAGTGGAGAGTGTGTGGGCATCACTGCTACATGTATAGGATGTTGGTGGATGATTGGTGGTTCACCACATTGCAAGTGGCCACTGAGTGGTACATAGCATGGACCCTCAGAGGCAGAGATCTTGTGTGAACCCTATCTCGCTCCTCATAGCTCTCTCATTCTGCTGTGCTGAGAGAGCTGTGCTGGCCCTGGTCTTTTGCAGGCCCACAGAAAGACCTCAGGGAGTAATCAACCAGCTGTCAGAAACACCAGAACTTTCTCATCCTTGAACTCCCTGAATACAGTAGTGAGCACATAGTCCTTTGTGTGTGTAGTCTTCTGTCTGCATTACATATGAAGGAGGTAAGTTTTCAAAAGGTGCAAAATGGTGGGGACTATGCTTCTGGGTTGCCCTCAGTCCACCCCAAATTCATCTAGACCTTGGACTGTCCTAACCCCACTGTGGTTTGTAATGACTTCAGCCAAGGGATACTTGATATTGGTATCTATGGCTGTTCTCTGAGTATGTCCCCCCTCTAAAACCTGGGTCTCTGCATTCATGGGGGAGGTCATAAAACTGTGCTAAGGCTCAACATGTGCCAATTCCTGCTGCCTCCAGCCCTACACAGCTTACCTCCTGAAAAAGTGGGCTTCCTACCAGCCCAGGATAACTGGGATAAATTTCAAACCAGGGTCGAGTTTTCTGCCCATGGATAAGTTGCTATGGGTATTCCCTAATAATCTAGGAATTCTTGGGCAGCAGCCTAAAGTGTGTGAGGCTGGCAGGACAGTAATGCCTGTGTCTGAGACACCTGCACAGGTGAGTTGACAGCTGACTCTGACAATTCCTCCTTGCCCTGTATCTGTGTTGGTCTAGGAGCATAGAGTCCTAGATGCCCCAGCTGCAACCAAGGGTTTTCTTCTTAGGTTGCAGAGAGCAGGCACTTATCCTGATGCTTAGGTTGACCAGGGTTGAGTCCTGGATATTAAGAGGCAAAGTAGACTTCTGAGTCCACGGATAAGGAAGGATATGTTCCAAGTTAAAGTGAATACAGGCTCATTCTGTGCTCACTGCATGACTGACTGTGTGATGCTGGGGACAGACGAGTCAGTTACTAATGGGGAAAGCTGTGAGGAAGGGTTATCACCAGGGCCAGGTGTGGTTGCCTAGGAGAGGCCAAGGTGAGAGGTAATTTCCTGACTACCCTAAGATGAAGAGACACATTGATTCCTTGGTTTTGTGCTTTCATGGTGAAGATGCAAGTTCTGGTGGGTTGTGATCACTGCCTTAGTGGAAGACCACGACACCCATCAATTTGTGCTCCCTTCTGACCAGTGACCCAAGAGGTTCATCCACATGTCAGCAGGAAACCACACAGTTGTTGTGGAGTTCATTCTGCAGGGATTCTCAGAAGACCCACAGGTCCGTGGTCTACTCTCGGTCCTTTTCCTCCTCCTCTACCTGATAGCTCTTGTGGGAAACAGTCTCATCATCACACTCATCATGGTAAGCCCAGGTCTGCACACCCCCATGTATTTCTTCCTTGTCAATCTGGCTGTTTTGGACATCATCTGCACAAACACTGTTCTCCCCAAACTTCTAGAGAGCTTGGTGATTCAGGTGGACACCATCTCCTATCAGGACTGTCTGACCCAGCTGTTTTTCCTGACATTGTCACTTGGTGCAGAGCTGTTGTTGCTCACAGCCATGGGGTTTGACCGCTATGTGGCCATCTGCCAGCCACTGCGGTATGGCACCATCATGAGTTGGCCACTATGTACACTGCTAGCTGTAGCTGTGTGGACAATCAGTGTAGTCAACACATCAGTGCACACAGGCCTCATTACACAGCTGAACTTCTGTGGCCCCAACCACATCCAGCATTTCTTGTGTGAAGTTCCCTCGCTGCTGTTGCTGTCTTGTAGTCCCACAATCCTAAATGATATCATGATTATCATGGCAGATGTCTACTTCGGCGTGGTCAACTTCTTCCTCACACTGGCCTCTTATGGCTACATCGTGGCCAGCATCCTCCGTATCCGCTCAGCTTCAGGCAAGCGCCGAGCCTTCTCTACCTGCTCCTCCCACCTCCTGGTGGTCACCTTGTACTACTCCACTCTCATCTACGCCTACTTCCTTCCAGTCTCTGGTGCCTCAATGGAGAATGGCAAGGTGGTGGCTGTGTTGTACACAGCAGTCAGCCCTGCCCTGAACCCACTCATTTACACCTTGAGGAACAAGGATGTAAAAGCTGCACTCCAGAAGGTGACCCCTGCCTCCTGGTGATTGAAGTGGCCACATGAATTATTCTAGTGTCCATTCTGTTAATTTCAAAATATGACTTTGATAATCAAAAGCAAGTGGCAAAGGGCAGGACAGTACCTAATGGGATGGATTTGCAAAACAGAAACTTCACTTGTTTCAGCAGCCTAGTGATTTACCTGGACCTTTACTTACTCCTGATTCTGTTGACTTGACCCAGGCTACTGTAAGTGAGGGGGATCGACACCCAGCAGCAAGGCTTTATGTACAGAGTGCCACTGCCACTTCTTTTAGGGTGAGCTTTGGCTTTGGCCAGGGGACCCCTGACACTGTACTTTGAACACTCTAATGTGGGAATTTCATTTTATTTAAAAAAAATTTTTTTTTGTGTGGATTGAATGAAAGTTTACAGGGCAGATCATTTGTTTTACATTCAACAAAATATGTACCTTGTTTCATTACAATGATTATAATCCCCTCCATGTACCATCAGTTGACAGTATTTCTCTCTATTCACGTTAGCTTTTTAAAAACAACAACAACAACAACAACAACACTCAGACATATATAATAATTTACATCTCCAAAGGGAACATTCTGCAAGTCTGTTTCCTGGCCACCAGCTCTTAGTCCCTCTCTTCCCATGAATCAAGAGTCCTCAGCCACTCCCCCTCTCCATGGCATCATCTCTGCCTCTGTCTCTGGCATTGCTGCTTCTCTGGATAAGGTCCCACATTCTGATTTTGCTCTTCTCCCTTGACGGTCCTAGGGTTTTCTGTTTCTGGATTGTAAGATTAACCACTCCCCTGTTTTTGTCACAAAACTTCTATCTTTACAATTGTGACAGTTGCAATTAGTCATGATAACAATTACTCACTATTGAATTATATGAATCTTATCCCCATCTCTTTTCACCGACCCATCTAGCCAAAATGAAAACTATACAGTGGAGACACTTTATTCCCACATACACTCTTAAACTAAACTCCCTCTTGAAACCTTGTAAGCCAGTCACTTCATGCCTTTATCGCACCCTCATTTTAGGTAGTCTAAGTTGCCATTCCCTATCTACCCTGTGTACAGAGTGATAGCATTGACACTTGATGTGAAGACTCCTTCCCTCTCTGTTGGTATTTAGAGTTACTACCTCCATGAGCATAGGTCAGTTCATCAAATTGTAGCAATTTACCTTGTTTCCTTTATCAAAAATTGTTTGTTTTATTTTATCTTCCTCTAGTTGAGTTCTGATTATCAAGCTATTGAGACTAGGTCAAATGAGTACTGTATGCAAGTTTGGGTGTTCTTGTGCCTGTTCCCTAACTTCATATCAGCTGGGTGCTTCACTCTCAGCTCTAGCCTTCTGTGGCTATATCCTTGTCCATAGGCTCAAGTGTCCCCTCATCTCACCACACTTTGGACCAACCAGCCCTTCCTCTTCTCTCTCTCAGTTCATTGACTCCTGACTCCAGGTCAATGGGAGTCAATGGACTGTGGTTGAATGCAGCTCATTTTTTCATTGATGCCTTTCCCCTCTTCCACTCACCAGTGGACCAACGTGGTTGTCAGCACGTTGTCATGTGTTCCCTTTGAGTTTCAGTTTTAGAGGGGAGTTTATCCTGAAGAAACTTGATTGCTTCCCTTGATGGCTTCCTGGTGAACAGCTTGCTTATTCTTGTAGTAGCTAGTTATGCTAACATTTTTGTTTTGGGTTTTTCCTGATGATCTTTCTTTGAAAATGTATCTTCTGTTGCTCTAGCTGCTCCAGGCTGTTCTGCTTGTCCTTGCTAGTGGGAAAGTGTCATCTCAGAAGGTTCTGGATGGGACTCAGGCTTCCACCTAAGGATCTATACTCTACAAAGGCTTTGAAAGAGGCTTATTTCACTGGGCAAGTTCCAGAACCCCTTTTAGGTATTCCAAACAGTTATAGGCTGAAGATGGGCTTACAAGTTTTCTGTAATCAAGTTTCCCAACACTCCTTTCTATCCCACTCAAGTGTCTATTTTACAATTGTAGACAAGGGAAACCAATATTCATAAGACAGTCAAACATTTTAGTATTATTTCACCTCTTCAAACTATGCCTAGATACCTGTATCACAGAGCCCTGTTGTTCCAAGTTTGAGCATGCATCACTATTTACCTCTGTCCTACTTAGGGCATGCAAACGTGTCTCAGTGTTCCCCTATCTATCTTGTTCTTCCACCTCCTTCTCCTTCTTGTATTGCTTCCCCCAACACCC